GCATTGGGAGGGAGTTGATTAAAAGGAAGGCCGAACCAATCACATATCTCCAAAATTTCAGGACAAAGAGGGAAACGGATGCCTAGGTCGGATTGAACCTTAAAAAAGGTATAACAGCGTTCAGGTGGGTTGTCGTAAGTCTCATGGGAGCCTGGGCTGAGAAAGCTCCAACTGCATGGATGGCCGAACTTTTTTAAGTTCCACCAACTGGTGGCCGCAGAGATGGATTGAGGTTTAGTAGGTACTGAGGGAGTAGGTATAGAACTCGAGGAGGGCTTGGTTTTGGTTGATTTGGGAATGGTCGAAGGCTTGGACTTGGCAACTTTGGGGGCGGTGGATAAGGCACGATGTTGAGAGAGAGGAGTGTGGTTCTCTTTCTCAAGAGCCACCTCAGCGGTGTTTAGGGAAGCTTCTGCGCATCAGAAGAGCTGAAAGCTGGTCGACGGCGACGAGAGAGGGACACATGGTCAAGGGCATCGTCCTCTGGCTCATCGACCAGGCGAAAAGGTTGAATAACGGGGGGATTAGCAGGATCATCGGGGCGACCATGTTGAGGGGGACAACTTGTATAATTAGAGATGATGATGGCGAGCGCAAGTTTTCACCAGAATGGGGATCGCTCTCAGCGGAAGTAGCGGGATCTAGAGAAGCGATAAAATAAGAAAAGAAGGAAAAATTTTAAAACTTGAGGGTAAGAAAAAGAGCAAAGGGGGAAGAAAAGAAGAGAAGAGACCATAGCGCGACGGCTAGGTTTTTCAGAAAATGAGGGAGCGGAGAAGAAAACGGAATGGGAAAATTGAAGATTTGAAAAATTAGACACAAAATCAAACGCAGATTAAAGGTATAGGAACTTACTCATAGTTGTAGGGAGGAGGTGTAACCGGAGAATTCGGAATTGCCGAGAAATAGAGCGCTGGGAAGTAGAAGGCTTGTATTGCAAAGAGTTAGGGCACAAGAGTGTTCGAAAATTGGTAAAGGTGAAAAGGTCCAAAAATGCCTAAGTGTGGATATTTATTGAGAAGGAAAAGATAAAAGAAACAATCGTTGGACTAAAAGTAAAATCCAACGGCTAAGAGTAATGAAGAGGGGTGCGAGACACGATGAGGCACGTGTCGTGAAGGAGTGCAATGAATGACAGATATGACGTAAGGGACATGTGGCAGAAGCGGAACCGTGTGATAAACATACAGATGGAAAGTACCTGAAGAAAAAGAAAGAGAAAGTACACGCGAAGTGGTCGATGACTAGAGGATAAATAAACGGCTAAATGGAGGCAGCAAATTCTCACTCTTAGATCGAGTCATTTAGACCCGACCAGAGTGGGGGGAACTAGATGATATAGAATATTATACCTCAGCAAATAAACTGGACCAACGAGTGGGTCGAACAAAGTCGAACATAGATAAGACCAAGTCGGTCGAGAAGGATATAAGAGAACATGACTGCAGTGGGATTATCTTAGGGTCAAGGGGATGAGAATCTTGGCACGTAGAGTAACCTAGAGAACATAGAAAAGCTCGATAAGATAAGAGACCGAATAGAGAGTTGCTCAGGTGGTCGATACAGGGGTTAGGGGCGACCCGATGGTCGTATACCCAATATGGAGGATAGTATATAAAAGGTTGAATTGGATAAAGTCAACTATGAGAGTCTCTAACGGAATTGCTAGAGTGACGCCAGGAAGATCACAAGGAGAATATTTTACCAATGTGTAGTGGACACGTGTCGAAGAGATATTGGTGCAGAGGATAGTGGCCATGGCTACCTATGACACACTCACACTGCGTGTGTATGGACGGGCAGTTGGGGCAGACAACTCAGCAAATCCGGGCAGCTCTTAGGGCAGGTATCTCACCTCTATATATATGGGGTGAGCCTTTTTTGCTCAACACGATCATTCTATTTTCACTCTTGAGAATTGATTGAACAAACACTGACTTAAGCTTTGGAGGCTCTTCATCGGAAAAGCCCTCAAGTGTGAGAGTTCATTGTAGGTGCGCGACGTTCAAGCGGTGAGAAGGAAGACGATTACTCGGATTCCAGCTGTTCGAAGAGTTTTGTGTTACCAGATAGTGAAAGAAATAATAATAATTCTGTATCATTGAATCCAACATATCAAATATATAATGGCAATCTTGTAATTAAGTGAACATATCATGGTCAAATAAATCCAATTGACCACTAACTAGAAGCAAATTAGACATTGCATATTTACTAGGGGCCCACCACCAACCCCACTATCTCTCTCTCTCTCTCACAATTACACATACTCACCTCACTCACTCACGTCGTACACCCTCAAAACATACATACAAATGCACTCAGACACGACCATCCCACTCGTCGTCGGCGCCTGCTGCCCGCCGACTACCGCATGTCGTCCGCCGCCCGCAAGTATCGCCACCGTCTTGCTTCGTCGGACACACGTAGCATGCACACACACGCCACCAGCCCGCCGTTGTGATCCCACCTTCCGCCACATGTCGTCGCATCCGCCAGAGAATCCCTAGCCTGCACTTCCGTCGTCCGCCGGGAGGATGTTAGGTCATCAAGACAGTCGTTGTCAGTCAGCCCGCCGCAGCTGCACGTCGGTCAGTCGAGGTTTCTGGTTTGATGCAGGCTACCGTTCCTCCAGCCCATTGTCATCAGTCCCTCGCTCCTTTCGCCTCCAGCAAAGTCTCAATCGTCGGCCGCTTCGAGGACGCGATACTCTCATCCATTTTTAGTCGTTCGCCGGATAGATCGCCGAACATCGAGGGCCCGTCGGCGGCGACCATCACCGTGATTTTGGTCAGATAGGTTGCAGGTAGGGGGATATTGTTGGGGACATGTTTTTAATAGGGATGTAAATGGGTCGGGTTGAGTACAGGTTTTGGCAAACCCGAACCCGACCCGCATATAATCTAAACTACTCAAACCCGACCCATTACCCGGCTAGTGATTTTCGGGTTTGGGTTGGGTTTTACCCGGGGGTTAGTGGGTTTTCGTCGGGTAAATGGGTAACCCGAGTCTTAAATTTAAGTTTTTCCCGACCTATCTCTTTTCATAAGAAAAAATAAAATAAAAAAATTTCACAATTAATTATAATGTAAGAAATAATTTATTAACTAAGTTTGACAATAAAAAAACTATAAAAAAATATATTATTTTTGGAATAAATAATGAGATATGATTATTTATATTTTATAGTCTATTTAATATTATAACATTTAAAATAAATATTTTTTTTTTATTATACAATTAACAAAAAATGATAATAAAATTATAAAAAAATAAAATAAATATAACCATTAATTAAAATTATAATAGATAATCTAATTTTTAAAAATAACACATGACTACTTTTATATTTATTATAAGGTATCAATATATATATGTATATGTATGTATGTATATATAATTCAATGGTTGCGGGTAAACGGGTAGGGTAATCGGGTCGGGTAATCGGTTTGCCTACTATATTCGCACCCGACCGGACCGTGGTTCGGGTAGCATAATTCTACTCTAACCCGACCCAAAAATACGGGTAACCCGCGGTAACCCGAACCTATGGGTTTTATTGACATTCCTAGTTTTTAAGAATTTGACAAGAGATATGGATTTATTTACAATTTTATTATGTTAGACTTAGCATGTAAAAAGAATTTAATTACAAAATTATGTTAGACTTTGCATGTAAAAAGAAGCCTACCCAACATCAATGTAACACTCATAATAATGAGATGCACGGGATTACAACATTAGGCCAAAAATCATATTTTTCACATGCTCATTTAATTAGAGGAGTAAAAGCAAAAAAAAAAAAAAAAAATGGCTCTTTTGACATTTCATTCACCGAATCGTTGACTAACGACCGCCTCAATTAGAATATATTATTTAAATACACATTTCAATTTTCTTTCTTATTAGTTCACTTTTTGATATTCTACTTTCATCATATATTTTGATTTATTTCACAATCATATTACATATGTAGACTATCAATAAAAATAATATTTAAATTATATATTTTTAAGGTTCACTTCTCATTTTCTAAATACATATTACTAATTTGTTTTATAAATGTAACTTATATAGATTAATTTTCTCATTTAAGTTAAAATTAACTAAATATATTTTTTTAATAACTGTGTAAAATATTACTACAAGAAAATGATGAAATTTGAACGGGAATATATTCAAATATAATTATAACGATAATGCCAATGGATGTTTTTCAATGTTATTATTTCCGTTGAAATTTTCCAATGGATTCTAGCTGAAATTCCAACAAAAAATTTCCATTGGAATAAGTTTTCCATTGAAATTTCCATTGAATTTTGACGATTTCAACGGTAGATTTTCCAACGGCTGTGAAAATAAAAATTCCAACGAAAATTGCATATTGCAATAGAAATTCCTACGGAAAAAAGCCGTTGGAAATATAACCATTGGAATCATCAAATTTCATCTAAAATTTCAATGAAAAACACATTCCAACGAAATACTTTTGTCGGAATTTCTATTGAAATCATTCCAACAGAAGCTATACTATTAGGATATCCGTTGGAATTTCCGTTAAAATATTTTACCATAAATTTTATGTTGATTTTTTTTTTTTT